TTCATCACCTCTGAGTTACAGCATCGTAGTGATGAAGAGTAGAGCTGCATCACATGCTCTGACTGTCATGAAGACACAACACATGTAGATGGAACGTGTGGAACATGTTGTTCCTGTTGCACAGCAGTGGAACGTTTCACACACAGTCACACACTGAGCACAGATAGTGAAGAGATAGAACTGCTGCTGTGTGAAGAGAACACTGCTGCTAACAACAACCTGATGTGTTTCAAGTGTTTACACACAATGTTATTCACCTTTAGTTCATAGAGCAGCACTTTAAAATAAAAGTGCACAATACACTACTTTTGAATTCATTGTTGAACTTTGCCATAACAATGAGATTAATCGTGATTAATCGCAAAAAATCCATGCGATTAATCGCGATTAAAAATTGTAATCGTTGCCCAGCACTAATTATTATTATTATTATTATTATTCACCAGTATCCTCATCACTCTAACCGGTGAGCCTAAAAGCGGCCCCGGGTGGTGAAGAGGTGGTTGCCGCCATAGCTTGTGTTTGTTCGAAGCAAAGCGTCCCGAGAGTGATCCACATAGGTTTTCAGCGTCTGCTTGTGATGACCCGAACGCTGTCCCTGGGTGGAGACTGCTCCCCTCATGAAGTGGTAATCTGCTGGGTCCATTGTAGGCAGAACATGTTGTTATTACTGGTGTAGGTGGACCCAAATGCAGACACTCTGAGTGGAGATTGATTAATGATTTATTGTAGAATCCAGGGGTGAATAAGAAATGGTTTGATACTCAACTGTTTTTCTGTAATTACATAAAGTAAACTGAAATGGAACCTTTTTGAAAGCCCTCCGTATTATAATCCGTGAGCTGTATCTCTCTGTGTGCTCATTTTACACAATAGATGTCTTTTTAAGTACTTCCTGAAAGTCTTGTCTCTTAAGCCATAGATGATTGGAGTAATGGATCGTGGCAGGACCTGTGCAATAATATAACAGGCAAACAGAGAGTCTGAATAATTCTTAGGGAACCATAGCAGCAGAGGCTGCTTTAACTGGGGTGTTGCATATGATGCCATACAAAGCAGCAGCTGGAACCCATGGAGGAGGATTGTGTTTCTGGCCTTTTTAGCATCTAAGCTAGCTTTTTTTGCAGTGAACAGGATGTTGAAGTAAGTGTAAAAGATAACAAACCAATCTATAACCAGATACACAATATAGGTGACATCTTTCTTCTTGATGATGAGGGGATTTGAGAAGACGGTTTCTCTGAGACAGAAGACTCTGGAATGAAAGAAGTCCAGCGGCTCTATGGCCAAAGTGATGAACAGATCAGGAAGAACAGACAACATGCTTGTCGCCCACATTAAAGCGATCAGCATTAACGTTCTCCTGACGGTACAGATCTGCACGTGGCGAAGGGGGACGCAGACGGCGATGTAGCACTCCACCGCCATGCAAGCCAGGTTCAGAGGGGTGTTTTCAGTGGTGAAAAGAGCAAGTAGGATGAAGATGCTACAGACGGAGACATTTATTTTGTAGATGGTGTAGCTGATGACGAACAGGATGACAGTCAGCGTGACTTGGATCATGTCGTTGACCACCAGGTGAATAATAAGGATGTAGCGAGGATTCGTGTAGAAGATCTGGAGGATGGAAGTAAAGATTTATTCTACTGGAGAACAGCATTAAACATGAATAGCAATACTGAACATTAACATCTTAATGGTTATTCAATTCCTGACAATCTGCTGTCAAATCATTTCGATATGAATACTTTCAGCGTTGCTTAGGTTCGAACAATATGATAATATGTATTGAGAGGCAATATAAACTTGCAGACACTTTTTCTACTTTGGACTTGGTTAACAAAAACATATTCTCATTGTTTAAAATCTATTTATTTCCATTTACTTCACTATATGGTACTATACTGTGCTAGTGATGCAGTTATAGATACAGTGGTAGACAATTTTCAATATTGTCCGACTATAACTAGAGGCTGACAGATACTGTATGTTTGTAGAACTGAGTTTTATATTTGGGGGTTTATAGAGTTATGACCAAGGTAAGTAGTGAGTGGGTCGTATTAAAGTTACAGATTATGTAATATTTCAGCTGTTACCAATAAGTTTATGATGATCTGTTTATCAGTCAACCCCAACCATAACACAGATCAAGGGTTGCACATTTACTTTAAATACTGAAAGGTTTATTTCAGTCCTGATGAATGAGCATTTACAGTATGCTTTGCTATTTGTACATTACGTTGTTCTAATAATCATTAAACATCACACAAAATAAGTGGTAATTCTGTAAATTTCTTGAAAACGGGCCAAAATCAAACTGGTTCAAGAGAGACAATAGCCATACTTATAAATAAATATTAATCTGCAACCTCACGTACGCTCATATTGCACCGGCGTGCCGGGAAACCACGAGGTAGCAGCTTCATCACAGTAAACAGTTACTGCCTACAAGTGGCGATATGAATAGAGTATCGAATTTTAACGCTATAAATAAACAGGGTGTCACTTTCTGCATCTGTGTAATGTTAACAACAAACACTCATCAGGTGTGTCATACCTTTCAGACTCTTTTTATTAGAGATGTTCTGATACTGTTTTTCCTTCTCGGTACCGATTCGGTACCAGCGTCTTAACAACAATGAGTCCTGTTCAACAGTAATTATTTGAATCATCCCATACATACGGGTTCATATGCATGAAATGTCCCGTCTGTAATAAAGCGTCCTCCGTGGGGTTCAGTGTCTGCATAAACCAGAACTACTGGAAGACAAAAGAAGTCAGGAAGTATGACACAGTTTCTGTCTTAAAAGTGTTTATTCTTAACATCAAAGCAACCGCATGTTTATTTATATTGCAAACGTAATTATTCTATTTCTAGACCGTACTCTGTTCAAAAGGCCAAAGAGTGTTTACTGTGGTGACGCAGCCGCCTTTTCTTCTTCATTGTTCACCTTTAATGAGCCGCTGTCTGAACTCATCACAGAGTGTTTGTGAGGGAAGAAGCCCCACTCGTTTGAACATTGACTGAATGTTTTTATAGTTCCATAAAAAAAGAAATGGAGTGACTAGTCTTCTGTAGAAGTGGTTCTCCCACTTCAAATGTAGTAAAACATAGATAGTTGTATACAAATGTAGTAATACATAGATAGTTGTATACAAATGTAGAAGGCTGAACCTGTTATTTCAATGTGTCAGATAAATCTGGAATCAACATTGAATATCTTCTGCTGCTAGTAAAAGACTCCGACTCACTAATTTAAATTATAATCTGCAGCATATTTCTTTTTTGTTCCCACATAATTAAAGGAGCATCATACCTGGTGGTTATGAAAGGTGTGAATGAGGGCAGCATTGATGTAGTTGATGGAGATGCCGAGGACCACGACGATCACGTTCTTGATCACAGCTTTAGTGAAGGAGTCTCGGTACTCCAGAACCACGGTCACATTGACGGACGACACGTTCATCTCTAACAAAGGATTGTAAATATTGACAATAATTGAAAAGAAATTCCAATATTGACCCTTTGAGTGAAACATTCCCAAAGAAAATGTGTTATTACATACTTATTTATTCTTAAAACTATCAGTTGTTGTTTACTGTTATGAACATTATTATGATTCAAAATAACATTTATATTCTATTCGAGCATCACTTCCCATTATGAGTGGCAGAGTGTGAAATTTACAGTTTTAGTTTTTACTCATCGACAATATTTCTATCTATATTAATCATAGATATTCAATTTCAATACTTTATCCTCCAAAACATCTGAAGCCAGAGTTGATGGGAGCTGAAAGTTTTTCTGTCCAGCAGTAAGAAAAAGGAACACCAACCCGACCTGAGTGGTTCCTCCAGCAGACCGATCGCAGGACCAGAGAAGTCCTGAAGAACACACCTGTAGACTAAACCTGTCACAACCAGCCGACGTGGTCTTATTCACATACTCTGAACCAACCAATCTCTAGTTTCAAGTCTTCTTCAATACAGCATGATGTTCATTTAGTACATTATGGTCCATTTAGAGTCACACAGACCATAAAGCAGGGGATGCTTTAGGGCGGGGCTACACGGTGATTGACAGGTCTCTACCAGAGACGTATACGGTGTCTCTACGTCACTCCTCCTCAGTCCAGATATGGTCACTTCCTGTTCACTGGTTGATTAAAAAAAACAACATGGCGACTGCCGTAATCCAAAAATATTGTTATTATTACCACTATTATTATATTTATGAATCTATTATTTTCATGCATTCATGTGTTTATGTGTTCATGTCTTCATGTGTTCATGTGTTTGTTCATGCATTCATGTGTTTATGTCTTCATGTGTTCATGTGTTCATGTGTTTATGT